TATCCCCTACCACTAAAAACATATGCTATAGCTCAGGGCGAATGAGTGTGTGTTTGTGAGTGCGAATCTGCGACAACGGATGGAAGTTAGCCCATGACTACAAACCGGAGTGATGCGTTCATGAACATGTACTGTCCCAAATAAACAAAATAAAAAATAAATTATTCTTAAAACTGAAGCTATTTTTACTGTAACATTTACAGGGAGAAAAAAGTAAAACACAAAAGCGCAGCAGTTTCAGAGTCCATGAAATATTTACACAAACGCTTGATTATCCAACATTGTTTTAGTAATGAACGCATGGTCGATGTGTCAACAGTCGAAATGACATCGCCTAATGTTGTCTAAGCAGTTCATTTCCTGTCTCTCTCGGAGCTGATAAAGCCTGAATTCAATGATTAAAGTCCGGGTAATAAAAGTGCGCTGGACAGACAATGAGCGCAGTGCAGTGCGGCTAAATGAAATGCACTGGTCATCGATCGCCGCTCTGATTCATTTGGCCTGACCTCGGCAATCTCTAATTACACACGTGCAGAGAGAGCAGAGCTACAGGCTCAGGGCAAGGCCACTGTCGACCGCAGAGGAGCAGAAAGTACCAGTTTGTTAGTATTTCTTATTGATATAGTGCATTTTTACAGTCCAAGGTCCCCCAAACCGCTTTACAATGTTCAGAGTCTGGATATTTTTAGATTCTCTCCAGACTGTGATGAGTTGTAGGGGAAACCGGCGCATCCTGAGGAAACCTGTCTCTCTCTTGTCTCTACAGTCTCGTTCTCTCTGGTCTCTCTCTCTATCCACAGCAGCAGAGGAGCTGTAGCCGCTGATGATGATCTGGTTCCTCCGGTTGATGAGAGTCTGCTTGGTTCTGACCTTTTTATCTGCTCTGGTTCAGAGTGAAATTCTGAACGTATTATTAGCATTTTTCCAAAAAAGGATAGCATTCCTCCTTTGGATATTCACTAGATCTGCTTGGTTGGGACTATTCTCTCTTCTCTGGTCCGAACCATGAACACTGTACTGTAGTGTAGCGAGAAACAAAGCAAAAAAGTAACTGTAAAATGCAATAAAATAACAGTTTCAGATCCAGGACTCTGTGCCGTTTCCAGAGCATCAAGAAAATAAACAATTGTCTTATGACTTGTGTTATGACCAAAATAGTAAAATAATGATATTCTGTCACTGCATTATATAACTATGGGCCTCTCAAGAAGCACAATTAGCACTGTCCAATATCATCCTAAAGTGAAAAAACTCCATACCACGGCCATCTTACGACTACTAGCGTATGTAGAAGAGTAAAATCCATACAACGGCCATCTTACTACTACTTTATTGTATGTAGAAGTGAAAAATCCATACAACGGCCATCTTACTACTACTTTATTGTATGTAGAAGTGAAAAATCCATACCACGGCCATCTTACTACTACCTTATTGTATGTAGAAGTGAAAAATCCATACCACGGCCATCTTACTACTACTTTATTGTATGTAGAAGTGAAAAATCCATACCACGGCCATCTTACTACTACCTTATTGTATGTAGAAGTGAAAAATCCATACCACGGCCATCTTACTACTACTTTATTGTATGTAGAAGTGAAAAATCTATACCACGGCCATCTTACTACTACCTTATTGTATGTAGAAGTGAAAAATCCATACCACGGCCATCTTACTACTACTTTATTGTATGTAGAAGTGAAAAATCTATACCACGGCCATCTTACTACTACTTTATTGTATGTAGAAGTGAAAAATCCATACTACGGCTATCTTACTACTACTTTATTGTATGTAGAAGTGAAAAATCCATACTACGGCTATCTTACTACTACTTTATTGTATGTAGAAGTGAAAAATCCATACTACGGCTATCTTACTACTACTTTATTGTATGTAGAAGTGAAAAATCCATACTACGGCTATCTTACTACTACTTTACTGTATGTAGAAGTGAAAAATCCATACTACAGCCATCTTACTACTACTTTATTGTATGTAGAAGTGAAAAATCCATACTACGGCTATCTTACTACTACTTTATTGTATGTAGAAGTGAAAAATCCATACTACGGCTATCTTACTACTACTTTATTGTATGTAGAAGTGAAAAATCCATACTACGGCTATCTTACTACTACTTTACTGTATGTAGAAGTGAAAAATCCATACTACAGCCATCTTACTACTACTTTATTGTATGTAGAAGTGAAAAACTGTTAACGCTGGTTCAGCCACGGTTTCTCCTTCGATGAAAAATGGACCACAAATTCTGCTTAGATATTTGAAAAGGTTTAATATATAAAAGACAGAATTACAGATTACAGGCTAGTGTCAGACTGGTTGATCAGTCCGGGCCCTGCTCTCCCTGGCACACCCAAAGCAAAAGACCCCGCAGAAGGAACAAGCTATCGATGATAAGCACACAGTCACATGACCTGATAATTGAAGACATATGGCACAACATCCTTAGGTGAGGACAATACCTCTCTGTTCAAGGACACACAAATAGCCCCTGTGTGAGTAGGCCTGAGGCTTACTCAAAACAGATGTTCTCTGCGCTCTTGCCTTAATTTAACTTCCTGTGTTTAATAGCTGGGGGTTGACTCCGCACATTCTTGTCTCACCAGACTACCTACTAGATCCTGGATCAATACTAGACTAAACGTTACATTTATTAATATGATAATAACAAAATAACATACTCCATTGACAAAAACCTATACCACGGCCATCTTACTACTACTTTATTGTATGTAGAACAATCAAATACCACTGCTATTTCTTACTACTACTTTATTGTATGTGAAAGTGCTGTTGTGTCTTTCTCCTCAGGCCCGGCCTCTGTCACAATTTTCAAACAGAAATACGAGTATGTGTCTGTGTTACCTTCTCCTCTCTGCTCTGCCACATTTCATTCCGGGATACGCTTTTGTAAACATATTTCCTCCTCTCACTTTGAACCCGGCTTTGCGCCTCTGGTTTTGGCTGTTTATTTTTGTAGAAGGCCCCTGCGTTAAAATTGTGCCGGAAAAATGAAATAAAAATAAACAAGATACTTCAAAAGAATAGTAAATGGATCCTTGAGGATTAGAAGTCCTTTTGGGAATAACTTAGATGGCAGAACAGGCCACCTCTGAACAAAATATTCTAAGTGTAGCATGCTATGAAAATGAGTCACCCTTTTTGATAAAAAAAATGATGTTTGTGATTATGGTGGTCCAAATAAAAAGTGTTATGCATTCTATACACATAATCTGTTAGCTCTATGGAACCTAATTTTTTTCTTGTTTATTTACATTGTTTTTGGAAATGCAGATATAAACCCAAACGACTGACCCATCCGGCGCCTTCTTACCACAAATTTGATGTCAGAAGACACTCCTGAGAGAGACTAGAGAGACCAGAGAGAGAGTCAGAGAGAGACAAGAGAGAGAGACCAGAGAGAGACCAGAGAGAGACCAGAGAGAGACCAGAGAGAGAGACAAGAGAGAGACTAGAGAGAGACCAGAGAGAGACCAGAGAGAGACCAGAGAGAGAGACAAGAGAGAGACTAGAGAGAGACCAGAGAGAGACTAGACAGAGACTAGAGAGAGACTAGAGAGAGACCAGAGAGAGAGTCAGAGAGAGACCAGAGAGAGAGAGAGAGAGTCAGAGAGAGACAAGAGAGAGACTAGAGAGAGACCAGAGAAAGACCAGAGAGAGACAAGAGAGAAACTAGAGAGAGACTAGAGAGAGACTAGAGAGAGTCAGAGAGAGACAAGAGAGAGACCAGAGAGAGACAAGAGAGAGACTAGAGAGAGACCAGAGAGAGACCAGAGAGAGACCAGAGAGAGAGTCAGAGAGAGACAAGATAGAGACCAGAGAGAGAGACAAGAGAGAGACTAGAGAGAGACCAGAGAGAGACCAGAGAAAGAGTCAGAGAGAGACAAGAGAGAGACAAGAGAGAGACCAGAGAGAGACCAGAGAGAGACTAGAGAGAGACCAGAAAGTGACCAGAGAGAGACTAGAGAGAGACCAGAGAGTGACCAGAAAGAAACCAGAGCAAGAGAAGAGACGGATCCAAACCGGACTCTCACTGGCCTCCTGCTGGTACCCAGAGTCTAATACGTATCTAAAATACCGTGATTATTCATGATTTTAACGCCTTGTGTGATACTTGCCTTGCCTGGGTTGATTTAGCTGCATATTCCAGCATAAAGCTAAAACTATTACAACAATTGCTAGTATTTCATCACTATCTCTGGGCAGCTCGAGTTGCAGACTTTACAATGTCTTAACGTGGACTTATAGATTTCTTAAAAGCCAAAGCAGAGTGCCTTGAATATGTGTGAAACGGTGCGTCATTTGTTCTTGCATTATTAACAGACAAAATCACGAGCTGAACCCAACGACTTCAATCCAGTGATGTCTCTGTTACTCAGCGTTAGTCGACTTTCTGAGGAGCATAAACTGTTTGGTGGCACATCGTCACTGCCGCCTCTTCTGTTGTCGAGTCATGACTGATACTTGTGGTATCACTCTCTCTCTCTCTCTCTCTCTTTCTTCTCTCTCCACAACATTCCGGGACTGACAGTTGACTTCAAGAGCTCTCCTTATAATTGCTGTTTTAATCCTGCCTCGTTCCGCTGTGCTCCAGTCAACACGTCACCTGTATTTTCTGTATTTAATTACCCATCCACCCATTCCTATATGTGCTATGATTGACAGATCGAGTCGTGAAGGACCCTTTACAACCCAAGAGGCAAAGAAAGACCGACGATTTATGTTAACAGTACAAAATAAAAATACAGAAGAGATTGGATTCAATAAAAGTGTTGCAAGGTGAGTCTTTTTGTGTCAAGATTAGAGTTGATTTTGGCTCTAACTAAACTACACGGTGTACCTTCAAGCTACAGCCGTGACACAGAGATTTGAATGGTTATCTCTTTTTACAGTGATGTCCATTATTTTTCCAACCCCTTATTCTATTCTTGTTATTTATTAGAGAATAAAGGCTAAACATATTCCCCGACATCATCACACCTGCTCCCATTTGTCTCGATACATCCGCACTGGAAGCCACATCTCCATCCAAACCCCGGTCTTCTCCCTCTGATCCCATTACAGGAATGAGCCGAGGCTATTCCACGCCTGAGAGAGCGGGAAGAAGAAGAGAAGACGTCCCGATTTATGGGCCTCTGCTCCGCACTCTTCAGTATCTCACGGCTCGGATTATTCATGAACTGTAGGCAGCGGATAGATTTAGGGTCGGACATGTTAGCGCGAGACTCGGCATCCGCAAACACGTCGGTAAATAAGGAAGCGGAGCAGATGGTGATCATCGCAGAGCATTGACATCGCAGATATACGGACGCTTCCCGACAGACGCTGGGCACAATGGCGTTCGTTGCTCTCGATATCGGAGCCGTAAAGGGTTTTAAAATCACGAAGGCAACAAATATGAACTTGCCATGAAACGACAAACACAATCAATCCATCAATGCTTATTTTAGCGCTCCTTATGACAGTTATTCAACAGCAGAGAGCAAAACAAACATATATTTCAACAGTACATGCGGATAACAGAGATAGATAGATACTTTATTGATCCCTGTCGGAGAAATTCAGTTGTCCAGCAGCAAAAATAAAAATAAAATTGATCATTTTAGAAACATAATAATAGTAATAATCAGCAACAGCCCTTGAGGTCACAGCAGCAGAGGTGGAGTAGCCTCTGGGCGCAGCAGGACGGGTCACAGCAGCAGAGGTGGAGTAGCCTCTGGGTTGAGCAGGACGGGTCACAGCAGCAGAGGTGGAGTAGCCTCTGGGTGGAGCAGGACGGGTCACAGCAGCAGAGGTGGAGTAGCCTCTGGGCGCAGCAGGACGGGTCACATCAGCAGAGGTGGAGTAGCCTCTGGGCGCAGCAGGACGGGTCACAGCAGCAGAGGTGGAGTAGCGTCTGAGTGGAGCAGGACGGGTCACAGCAGCAGAGGTGAAGTAGCCTCTGGGTGGAGCAGGACGGGTCATAAGGTGGAGTAGCCGCTTGGTTCGGACCCTTTTCTCTGCTCTAGTCCAAAGTAAAATGCTAAACGCTTCATTAGCATTTCTCAAAAAGTTAGCATTCCTCCAGTGGATTTTCACTTGATCCACTTGGTTCGGACCATGAATCCTCTCTGCTCTGGTCTGGACCAGTGTAAAACCATGAACACTGTACTCCAGCAACATCTCAGGCTCAAAAAAGCAATACAAATAACAATTGATTAACCACAAAACAACAACTGTTTCAGAGCTACTTAGGACCTGCAGCCGTTTCCAGGCGCATCTTTCAACAACAAAAAAAACATGCAGATCTTTTTTTTAAAGGGACATCATGACTCTGACCTGCCTCGTCCAATATGGCGTGTCAAAGGGGGAGGGTGGGTGTGGGAGGTGTGGGGTAAGACCATCAAAGACTGAAAGAAAGAGAGAGGCAGACAATGTTGTAGGGAGGGGGGAGTCCTACAACTGGTGAACTACGGCCCTGTTTATACTGAGACGCTGCACAGACGTTTCCAGGCTATTAACAGAAACGACCTGGCTCCTAATGCAAATTTCCCAGCGTTCACATGAGGTTGAAATACGATGTAGTTCTAGCGCCCGGCCAGTAGTGGGCAGAGAAACTTTACAACACTCACACGACCCCCAGCCCCGTGCCCAGCCCCCCTCTCGGCAGTATACTCACTTCCTGTGCCAGACCCTCAGAACGCATCATTCTGCATTTTAACAGCAGCTGTGAACATGGAAACTGAACCTAGAGCTTCGCGTGGTCTCGTTTGGAAGAACGAAGGAGTAGAATTATCCTCTGTGCTGTGCTCGAAGCCCACGAAGCTAGTTAGTGTGACCGCCGCCATTGTTGTTGATGTTTGTTCTCCGCTACTGCGCATGTCCAAATTTACGTGCGGGGAGCAGCAGGAGGTGGGGGTCAGAGCAGAGGGGGGTTTCACACCTTTCCCCTCTCGCGGGTGTGAAAGAGCTCCCCGCTGTGCAGCGTTTCTGAGTTGTCCCACTCTGAGGCTGGATCTGAACACTTACGTTTTCACCTGGAACACAGTCTTCGTATGAACGGTTGGTAGAAACCGACATCCAACTATACCGTTTTACTGCCACATTGTCTCCGTGTAAACTCAGCCTGAGAGAGTCTGTGAGTTATGAGAGAGAGTCCACCTTTGGCCTTGAGTAGTGGAATGTGGAGGTCAGTAGATAAGAGCGGTGCCTGCAGACATGGGAGACTAAACAACACGTATGTTTTGTGGGAATTTGTATGAGCACTTTAGCCGGTCACATCAGGCAGTGTAAACTTTAAAGCCAATTAGGTCCAAATGATATCATAACTGCATCTCTCCGTTAACCGTTCTCCAGAGTTGACCACTTCAGTGCGAGATTCCGCCATGAGGCCCATGAACACATGACTTCAACTGGATTCTTGCCGTTTTGATGTTGTCAGATATTACGTCCTTAGATTGTATGTGCAGCGCTGGTGAACATCATGGTATAGAGATTTGTTCTGTCTGTATCTCGGATCTCGATCATTCTTTTGTGGGAAAAAATGGAGTATCTACTGTATAATCCAGATCCAGTCAAAAATCTATGTTGTCTTTGAAGTTTGACTTGATAGGTAAGATGTTATTGTTATCTAATGGATTTTAAAGTTTAACATTTAAGAAACTTGGATGAAGAACGGTGGGCTGGTGCTCTGTGAATTGGGTGGTATCTCTGACTGCCACCCCCCGACCCAGAAATGGATTAAGGGGAAGAAAAAGGATGGATGGATGAAGAAATATAGTAATTGTGCTAAAATTAAGGTGAAAAACTTGGGAGAAATAATACAACTTCAAGTACAATCATAGTTATTATTGTTAAGTTACAGTCAGTGCCATTTGAACCAACTGAGACTCTGAGGAGCACAAGGACAGGCCTCCTGTTGGGACTCTGAGGAGCACAAGGACAGGCCTACTGCTGGGACTCTGAGGAGCACAGGGACTGGCCTCCTGCTGGGACTCTGAGGAGCACAAGGACAGGCCTCCTGCTGGGACTCTGAGGAGCACAGGGACAGGCCTCCTGCTGGGACTCTGAGGAGCACAGGGACAGGCCTCCTGCTGGGACTCCGAGGAGCACAGGGACCGGCCTCCTGCTGGTCCCAGAGTCAGGACTAAACATAGGGGGATCATTTCAGATTTACTGTATGCAGCAAAAAGAGTTTTTCTCAAAATCAACTGTTGTTCAGATTTTGACAATCTTATATTCTCAGTGTGTAAATGACAGGGTTGTTGTTTTAAAGGAATTTATTTTTACATTATTTATATTTATACTTAGACCTGCAACACCATTGCCCTGTCTGCTGTTGTTGACTTTTTAGCATGATTTTATATGATCAAAATAGTATAGTAGACAGACGTGTGTTTTCTACTACACGTCTGTCTTTCTACTACTTTGTTTTTGTCAAATCAAGACTGCATAAATTATGATTACTGACTGAGCCGTTTCCATCAAACACAGATGGCAAATTGAGGTGTTACTTAGATGAGAAAAAGTGTGTTTTATAATGATTCTTTTTGATGCAGTTTGTTTTTTAAAGAGCTTTGATAAATATTGGTTTCACTTAGAAGCTTGAAAAGTGGAGCAACTCTCGTCTCTGGATTTACATCTTGTTTGATCATTTCACTTTTACCCATGAGAAATTAACAACAAGTTTTCGTGTGAAACTCATGAAAAAGTACATTTTACTCAACTATGGTTAATCCTTTGCACTTGTTTACTACATCCAAATTCGGAGCCATAATGCCCAGCGTACGTCGGACTGGCAACTGACAATATCCGTTGCCTATGAGTTACTGCCCCGCACACAACGACAATGTGGCGAAAACGGGAAATTCCTAGTATCAGGCCAGTCTGGGGAATAACAGCGCGTTCATCGACAGCAACCGACCTCAACTACAGTGTGTTCCCAAAGGCCCTGAAAACTGCAGTCATCAGGCCCCTGCTAAAAAAGAGCAGTCTGGATGCCACTGTACTTAACAACTATCGTCCCATCTCAAATCTGCCATTTATGGGGAAAGTCCTTGAGAAAGTTGTCTACCTACAGCTTACTAGATTTCTTATAATCAACAACTCATTTGATATGTTTCAGTCCGGCTTTAGACCCCACCACAGCACTGAGACTGCTCTCGTTAAGGTTACAAACGATATCCGGCTGAACACTGACGCAGGCAAAGTCTCAATCTTAATCTTGTTAGATCTAAGTGCTGCCTTTGACACCGTCAACCATGAGATCCTCTTACAGAGACTAGAGGACTGGGTTGGCGTCACTGGCACCGCCCTAAGTTGGTTTAGGTCTTACCTTGAAGACAGGAAGTACTTTGTGGAGATTGGAAACTGTGTCTCAGATCATATGGCCCTGACCTGTGGAGTCCCACAGGGGTCGATCCTGGGACCTCTTCTGTTCAATCTCTACATGCTGCCGTTAGGTCAGTTAATACGCAGAAACAAAGTTTCCTATCATAACTATGCAGACGACACTCAGATCTATGTCTCACTGACTGCAGGAGAACATGGACCAGTGGACTCACTCCTTCACTGTATCCAACAGATCAGTGAGTGGATGCAAAACAACTTCCTTCAGCTAAACGCAGACAAAACTGAAATGATTGTCTTTGGTCCCCAGAAACAAAGAGAGAGCGTCATCTGTCACCTACAGTCTCTCTCCCTAAAACCTTCAAACAAGGTCAGAAATCTAGGGGTAATACTGGACTCAGACTTAAATTTTAATAGCCACATCAAATCAGTAACATCAGCAGCTTTTTACCATCTAAAAAACATTGCCAGGATCAAAAACATAGTGTCTAAAGCAGACTTGGAGATTCTTATCCATGCATTTGTCTCCAGTAGGTTAGACTACTGCAATGGCCTGCTCACAGGTCTGTCCAAACAGGCTGTAAAACAGCTGCAGTACATTCAAAATGCAGCAGCTCGAGTCCTGACAAGAACCAGGAAGTACGACCACATTAGTCCAGTCCTCAGGTCTCTGCACTGGCTTCCTGTGGCTCAGAGAATAGACTTTAAAACAGCTCTGCTTGTGTACAAGTCTCTCCATAGCCTCGCACCAAAATATATTAGTGACATGTTAGTCCCATATGAACCAGCCCGGACTCTGAGGAGCACAGGGACTGGACTCCTGTTAGTGCCCAGAGTCAGAACTAAACATGGGGAGGCTGCTTTTCAGATTCATGCTGCTAAAATCTGGAACAATCTTCCTGAAGATGTGAGACAGGCCTCCTCTCTGACAATGTTTAAAACCAGGTTAAAG